GCGTCTTGATTTGGCGCGTTGGGCTTTGTAGAAAAGTTAATCGCTTGTTACGCACATCTTCCAGCAAAATGAGTAAGAGCCCATAAATTATGAACGTATTGTGATTGACTAATAATTGATACCATTGACAGATTAGTGGCGTAGTTTGCGTTCAGACTTCGACATCTTTCGTGTTTCTAGACCTGCCAGCCATGAATTTACGAGATCTGAACATCATCTCATGTGTGCAACGTAAGGTAAAGATCGCGCGTGCGCTCTGCGGAAAACTTATATATAGAACCGCATACGACGTTGGTCATACCGGTGGCACATCTTCGTTCTCATGTTTCGTCGCGTGAGACATGAGTGTCAGCGGAGTGCTTACGTCCAGCGCGTAAGTCAGTAAAGAAATAAAAAAAATCTTTCCACTTTTTCAGGAAAAATATATAGTAATTCCTGTTTACATTGTTATGGTTCAATTGGCTGGGGGCATTAGCGCACTTCCTAGTTTTAACTATATTTGTTCTGAATGTGAACATACACTCGTGACCCATACATAGCCATAACAACAATAATGCTTACGAACAACACTTAATTCAGATCGTCCCCAGGGGTCTCTTGTTTTGATTTTTAACGTAGTTGAGAACCAATGCTTAGTCCACCGTCAGACCAGCAGAGTCGTGCAGCACTTTCTGTTTAGTCTCGTTAGTTCTTACTGTTTAATGTAAAAGAGAATGTGCGAATGACTCACTTTTTCTTGCGAAATTTTACCATAGAAGATCTCGTGTAACGTAATCGCCTTAAGGTTTTTCCTGGCAGACCAATTGCGGTTTAGACCGCATATCATCTGTGTCTCAGCGTTCTCTTTCTCGTCCTCTATGACTGCCGGGGCAAGCTCGTTCCTCCTCCGTTTGAGTGCGCGCAGTCCCTCCTGAAGTATGTCGTCCATATGATTAGTAACGCGCTTATGTCGCTTGCTGCTCGGTTTTCTTGTTAATCAAGGCAGACATGTAGAAACGAGTCTGTCAGGTGAGATCTGAGGGTCGGGCATGCCGTTTCGATCTTGTGCAGAGTAGGATTGGGTGTGGTTTGAGAATGTATGGATCATGGGGAAGAGGAAGTGTCGGCCTGGCATATTTGGAAACGCCCAATCTCCCTTGTCAGATGCCCCTGCCTCGAATTATGGTGTGATGAGATGCGCGCGCCGGCACACGCAATTTTACTCCATTGTCTGGCATTTGAAAACAATATGCATCTAGAGATGGGTCCGGTATACAGCCTACAGTCCGGGTGGGCCAGCATCATATGCGGAATGTCCCGCCGAAGGCCCGCCAACTCACTGGGCCCACCGCGGGCGCACCGCCGGCTGCACCCTGCTGAGTGGCGCGTGGCTAAAACCCAACGCAGAGTCAGGAGATAAAGAGACCACCCTTTCCCAGGGCGTCGTTAGGACGTTGCGCATCGGCGCTTGCATGTCCCGTGAATCGAACGGCTCGAACACTTTTCGTTGTGGTGGCGGACCCTTTAGGGGAAACGTTTCCGTTGCGAGCATCCCGTCTATCATGCGAGGAAAAAGCCTTACGTGTGAATGGCTCAGCGGCCGAACAAATTTATGCATATTGCGTGGTCTAACGTGTGTGTGAAC